GGCTTAAAACCTGTCACAGTGCAAATTAGCATCTCATCGTGTGTTACTGAGCAAGTGAATTTCATCTCACAATGCTGTCATTTTCCTAAAAGAATTGAAACACTATCCTTAACACGTACATCTGTGTTTGCCTTTTGAGCTGACAAGTGATTGATTGGCCTAGAATGTCAAAAGAAGGTTACTTAACAATTGAGTGGACTCTATTATTCTCCACAATAAATCTTTTCACATAAAGACAGTATTTCTTGAGAACCTGTTATGGGCTAATTCCTGGATGAGTGGAGATTTCATCAAACCAATTCAGAATCAAATACAAGTTCAATGAACATGAGCAACTGGTATTTCTAGGAAGAAAATCGGCAGGCTCCCTAGGGAATATTTTGTTTAGAAATTCATATATAAAGACAATGGGATTAATAGGTAGCATGTCACCTACTGAATGAATGGTTAGCTATGCTTTTGAGGCGTTTGCTGTTTGTAACAATGAAGTGTTACAAACTGACTTGATTTGCATGTTCCAGATTAATATATGCCTTTTGATTTTTTTTAAATTCCAAATTTTGGGATGCCGTATTTTGTGCAAAAGATGTGCAGCATGTTTACCAAAAGAAGCATTCAAAATATGACATTTCACAGGGATATCTTTTTTAGATAGAGGAAGAGTAGGGCCTCTCTTGGGTGAGCATGAGCTGCATAGGGAAGATCACTGCGCCAGATTCAGCCCAGGTGCAGAAGATTCTCCCTCTCCAGCATAAAGATCCCTGGTCCATGTCAAACAGGATTAAATATTGCCATTCATTGCCTGTCACCAAGGATGCTGCTGGCATACAAGGTGCCCTTGTGCAGAATTCCATTAGCACCCCCAACAATTTTGAAAATGTTCCAGCTGCATGAATGTGCACTTGCCTGCTGTTAAAAACATTTTTTAGTATCCCAGATACGCATATGCCCACTTGCCCATCTTTTTCTTACCTTGCAACTGGTGCCCCCCTCCTTGTGTGGCACCCTTGTGCAGTGCACAATTTGCACCCTGGGTTGTAGTGGCTCTTGGGACTGTGTCTTTCTGTGTTTAACAGAGCATATCCCCAGTTAAGTGTGAGTAGGACTCCAGCCTAAGAGTATTTAAATGTATGATATACTCTTAGAGAGAAATCTGTACCTATTTAATTTTTTTTCCTTGGGCACTTTCTGAGGGACAGACCTAAGCTCAATAGAAATTTGGGACTCTTCTTGCTATTATGAAACTGCCTTCCCTTTCTCTTTCCTTTCATTTGCCTCTCAGTATGCTAATGAAATGCATCTGATGCCACCAGATAAAGTTTATGTCCTTTCTGACAGGAAAGGACAAGCTGACAAATGGGCCTCAGTGACTGTATTTTGGGGGACTGAATTAATCCCATTATTCAGTCTGCCTTTAATGCTGGAGCATTCAGCATCTCTCTTTTGCTGCCAACATCTGAAAACGGCCTGGTCTCTCTCTCTCTCTCTCGTGTTTTTCTTCATTCCTTGAGTATATGTTTTTGTGATTCTGTGACTCTTTCCCTATGTTGATCATGTCCATCTGGGTCTTCTGGCACGAATGATGTACTCGTCCCAACTGTCTGCTCAACACTGTAAACACAAGTAGGGAATCCTAGCCTGAGTTGGTGAGATTCTATTGCCTGGTGTGCAGAGTTGGCTTCCTCTCTCTCTGCACCTTGAAAACCACAGGGGTAGGAAGCACCTGTTTACCTCTGGCCCATTCATCTCCTCTGGCTCCTCCTAAGCCGCTACCTATTTATGTAGCACATCTGGAACCATGGACATTGCCAGAGAAATGGGAAGAGTCTGAGCAAATCCATGGGCTGCACTTGGCAACCTCTTCCTTGTATTTATGTATTTTAACACTTGAAGTGGGGCAGCTGGTGGAAACAATCCTCTATCAAGATGCAATAAGAGTAAAATACACCAAATTACTTTAAAGACTCTTGCATAATTAGTAATTATGATAAAAAGTATATCTGCTCATGAAACACCACCTCTGAGCCAGGTAAATAGTTCACATGCTGAAGTAGCTCTCCCAGCTTGATAACCATCAGATGTGTTGGACTGGAATCACCATGACATAAAGTGCCAAAGCACCAGACAGGAAGGATGTAAACCAAGCAGTCTTTATTCAGAAGCATAATCAATGGTAAAACAAGTACACATGATTTGTGTAATTTTTTCATCACCCCACCACCATACTTCAAATATACCCCTTTGGATGAAATCCTGCTATCCAGTTCTTTGAATTTCTCACCCTCTTGGTTACATTCTAAAAAGGTTATTATATTCACATACACTTTCTGATGAAATAATTCAGCAAAAGAAAATTTGGCCTAGGTAATTTGTAAATATGGTAGATGTAGAGGTAGAATACAATTTTGTATTCAATATTTAGGATACGTACTGTTATATACAAGATTTACTATCTTATGGATAAACTTTAAACATATTTTTTATAAATGTTGAATTATACAATGTATGTTATTGTGTAACTATTGCCATTATATTCTTTTATATTTGCATAGTTTGCATAATTCTAAAGTTGAATAGACTGAGCTTTTCCTCATGCCCATATAAATATCCTTTTCTTCCTATCCTTGGGTCATATGAAAAATATTTTGATATAAATTCCTCTGCCCCAACAGCCTGAATGTTACTGTGCCTCAACAACAGTCAGGCAATATTGGTATACTGACACAATTTAATGTGTTTAATGGGCTAGTTTCATGGCAGTGATCACTGGACTTCCTCCTTTCCCATCCAGTATCACCCATCGACCGGAACACCTGTCCCCACTCAGTGTGGTGATGCAGGTTTTGAAGCTCAAAGCTTGATTTCTATTATCTCTTTAGCCTTAATTTTTATTATTTCCCATATGCTTTTTGTGACAGGATGGTTACTGCATATTGGAATCACTGCATGTTGGAATCAGAAATCAGCACCCCAACCTGCAGTAATTACTAACAACCTCTAGGTGGCAGCATTTGTGAAATCATTTCATAGGATTATTGATCTGCTATGATATTGATAATCCCATCAAAGAAATATAGGTTCAATATATATCAAACAAACTCTCCCACCAGAAAAAACAAGTCTATCTAAGTGATTGGAGGAGCTAATTTGAAATACTTTTTAGGGTTATTCATGTTTACCAGTGGGAATATTGATCTCATGGAAGATCCTACTTTCATGAGATCAATATTCCCATGTCCAACCTCCCCTGCTCCAAAAGAAGGCTGCATAAGTGAAGTGTCTGGATTCTCACAGCCACAATCAAATGGCCATGAGGGCCCAGGGCCCATTGATTGGACAGGAGTGGGCATCTTATAGCAACTAGAGCTGAGTGGATTTCTGACTCTGTGACACCCCAAGTCTCCTTGGGACATGAGTTTTGTGTTGGGATAAGAGGAAAAAACCCACTTTCATAATGGAACACCTTAAGTCAATTTCAGACTCTCACAGCAGTGGCTAGCAATGAAATAGACATATTCTCTAAGAATGATTAGTAGGGTGTCTTCTTGCCACAACAAACAGGATATGTGGGTGAGCTCACACTGTTACTTTAACAGTATTAACTTATGCTGTGTGTTTTATCCTACATGATTTCTCTATCACTTGGGGGTTCTAATTAAGGAGGATTTGATTTCTTTTCCACTGTGTTGGTACTTTAGCTTGTGGTTGTTTGAGGAGAGCATTCTGGTCTGTTGATTGCACTCCCATTATCCCCAACCAGCAGGGCCATGGCCTCCATTCTATTCTACACCTTCCTATGTATGTATCCTTTCTGACTAGTTTAGTGACTTTCTTTCACTAAAACAATATTTCTTTTCCTTTTAAATCTAGCTTTGGGGTGTCTTTGCAGAAAAATACCAAAATGACTTAGGAGCCTCCTTCATCTCCTTCCCTTTTAGATGTGACTTTGATTTCCTAAATGCTTCTGAAAATGTTTCACCCTTAGTTCCTTGACTGCTAAATGTCAGTGACAATCTTGTGCCATAGGCCTATCTTCCCTCATCCCTTGCATACACTTTCTGTGTTTATCTGCAAAGTAACCTTTTAGTGAGTGAATGTTTCTCCTTTTGGGTAAATCTCTTGTTCTCTCTCTTTGTTCTCCTATCAGTTTAGGTTTTATTTTTAGTTTTTTAAAATTCTATATATAGCAGGAGTGTAGCAAAGGTCTCTCTCAGCGGGTGCATAAAATCATTTCAGATACAGGTTTGATAGATGTGTGATTTGTTCTGATTGGAGCTAATGTAAGTACCCCCTATGTCACTTTCCTTTAGTTGAATCTGTTTTAATCCAGATCCCCTGCCTTGAGTTTCAACAGACAAAGAGCCAGGTTACATTCAGGTTTAGCTTCACCTGGGATTTAACTTCCATTTGAGTCTCTGGGGCAGGCCTCCTCTGTATTTGGGGATGAGGAATGTATCTAGACGGCCACATCCCATAATGAGTCAATGTGGAACATGTGACTGCAGCAAAAAAGCATGCAGCTATGATGTAAGTGCTTGCTTTTGAAATGGGAGCCTTCTGTGAAATTAGGACATGCATATCAAGCATCATACTGTCGTTCCTTATGATTGCCAATGAGAGCCCCTCTCCCCCGCCCCCCCAACAGCACAGGGAGAAAAGAAAAGTTGGGGGAAAAAGAGGGGGAGATGCAATGGAATAGAGTATTGTGGAAGGGGCATGTCAAATTGTTTGGAACAATGAATTGCAACATTTTGTATCCCTTCCCTGTTATGGATCTTCTTGTTATCCATGATGATGTAAAAGATATAAAAGATGTGAAGATTCTGATGGCAAATGTTTCTGATTTCAGTAGACGTTGCACATAAGTCTCTAGATCACTGTTCATTGGGTCATCCTTCCAATGGGAAGAATGTATAGCTTGCTATAAGAATGTATAAACAAATGATTTCTCCTAATCAATCCTGTTGTCCAGAGTTGACTGGCTTTCTCTCATCTTCTAGAGCCTTACAGCCCAGCTGTGTGGGTGATGATGTTTGTGATGTGTCTCACTGTCGTTGCTGTCACAGTCTTCATGTTTGAATATTTCAGTCCTGTTGGCTATAATCAGAACTTAACCAGTGGCAAAAGTAAGTAAGTTTCCAAATGGCCCAGTGAGTGAGTTGCCTGACTTGCGTGGTGGGGGAGGAAAGGACAAAAAGCTGGATTATTCTTTTATTAAGCATTTCCTGCCAGTTATTGCAATAAAATAGGCAGATGAAGTCCAAAAATTCTCACAGACTGGCCTTTTCCTACCACCCCACAAAGAATGACAGTCCAGAGTGAACATAAAGGTTTGAAGTAAGCAGGGTTTGGAAAGAATACAGAGCATGCCATCTTATTGTAATATATTAAACCACATGCATGAGAGCTCTGCCACTGCAAAATATAATGTCTCCAATTAGCTTATAAATACTTCTGTATTTTGCACAGAACCCACTGCAGTCCCTGCCAATGAAGAGTCATACATATCTGTTCTTCCCAGGGCCCCCAATGGTCTAATTCCCAGGGCAAGAACTCTTCTTCTGCTTAGTTACAGGGATGTGCAGTACTTCAGAGCAAATGTGGATATGCAGTTGGCCCCTCTGTACCGCAGACCTCTGTTTTCTTGAGCATCTGCCATATAAGCTCAGGAAAAGGCACAACTTTCTGAAGGAGGCACCAGCAGGTGTCGCGTGTCTGCCAATACTTACTCAGAAGGGCTGTCTTAACTTTAGATCTAAAGTGCTGCACATCCCTGGTTAGTTAATAGGATATGTTTTTCATCCAGTGGCAAAGCAGCAATGAAGCAGTGTATGGTGACCTAATGACATTAATTTATTTGTAATCGTTCCCACTTTTGTACAGTCATAAGTGCAACTTGGTGATTCTGTGCCATTGATCAATGCCGCAAACACACATGGATAACAGATAAGGAAAGGGAAACAGGAACTTACACATTAGATTGGAAATCTAGCAAATCTTGGGTGAGAAGTCTAAAGGTTGTTTAAAGGCTTAAAGATGTTTTTTGCACTTCATGATAACACTGAACATATCATTAGATTTCAAGAGACCAAATCTTTTACAACTGAGTGGATTTTTTTTAATGAAAAAAAACCATCCAAGGATCTTTTGGACAAGCTGTACAGACTAGTCAGATGCAAAGAAGAATTAAGTTAAAATGCATATATAGAACCAGAGAATGGCTTTTCTCACACCTGTGTGATTAGTTGCACCATCTCCTAAAACACTGATCTCTGTACAATAATTAAAAGATCCCCCTTTAAATCCTGTAGGTAGTCCTATAAACATCATAACCTTGAGACTGTTTTGATTTAATCCACAGTGAAAAACATTCCAGGTCACATAGTGGTGTGTCCTTAAGTTTTTTTGTCTAAGGAAACTGCAACCTAGATAATTTTGACCCAGGTTGTTGCTAAGCATTGTGTGAAAACACCTCCATTTTAGGCCAGGCTAGTTAGATTAGCCTGAACTTCAGAGGTGCCTGTAAGCTCCTTGAGCAGCTTCTCCAACTAAGGAGTCCCACTTCTTAGAGATTTGTAGGGATTTCTCACAGCTGCTTTCAGAAGCTTGCTGTTTCCCCTCTGTTCTTGATAAAAACTCCTCAAAACGTATACATCCTGACATGTGGATAAAGAAAAGGGTATGAGTGGAACGAATCCCTTCTGACTGTCCATTGCCACCTTTGTTCAGTCATCTCACCTTCCAGAGAGTTCTTTGAATTTCTCACCTTGGAAGATTTGCTGTTGTTCAGAGATCACAGACAGTTAAGGATGCTGGAATGAGCTGGCAAACTAATTACAAAGAGAGAAGAGCCCAGAGTAAAAATAAGCAATCTTTTTTTAGCTTCCATCATGTCCTTTGGCAGGGGACGGGTTACCTGGATGCTCCTGATTGCTTTATTGGAATTTGACACGCACACACACACACACACACACACACACAGCATTTCACACTTTCAGATTGTTGTTTTGCTTGTTGCATTCTTACTTTAGAAGCAAAAAACTGTCCTAATCTAAGAAAAACAAAATAAAATATTCAGAACTTCAGAATGGCCTCCTTGTGCCTAACTCTCTGCTTTCTTCCTGCTTAGAAGTTGAAGGAATCTCCGTACCAAAAAGTCCCATAGTGACTTTCTGAGATTTTTGTGTAATGCTAGAGATCAAGAATATCAAACAGTGAAGACTTTCAGAATTCTGAATCAATTTACTCATCCACAACAAATGCTATTAATGTGATCAAGATTAAAGTCTGCAGGCTGTGTATGGTTTCCAAGTCATTTTCTGCAGCCTGAAATAATATTTATAGGAAAAAGCAAGCCCTACAGGGCACACGTCTCTTTGCTTGGGTGACCTGCCACAAAAGAAGGCTGCAGTGCCCCTTGCCCATTTCATTGGGTGGAACAAGTGAAGCGTCACAGCTCCAGCCCCAGGGAATATCTGCAGGGCTTGGCCAAGCTCAGCAAGTTGCTGCCCTCCTTCCTGCAGTAGCTTTTCAGCTGTGGTGCAGAGGGAGAGATACTTTCGATTGCTCTGGGAGGCAGAAAAGTCAGCACCATCCTTTTTCCTCTGTCCCCAGACTGACTGACTGACTGACTGACTGACTGACTGACTGACTGACTTATTTATTTATTTATTTATTTATTTATAAATTTGTATGCCGCCCATCTCCCCCAATGGGTGACTCTGGGTGGCTCGCAATTAAAATCAAAAACCCATAAACAATTAAAAATACCCCACAAATAATTAAAATTAATACATTAAAAATCAACTGTAAAACCCTATACTTAAATACTAAAAACATTCAAGATGACGGGGGGGGGGCAAAATCAATTACCCCACAAGCCACCTCCACTTGTGCGAGCCCCCATCCAGCCCCCAGGGCTTCTGGCATAGCCAGGATTTCACACCTTTCCTGAAGACCATGAGAGTGGGGGCACACCGCACCTCGGGAGGTAGGTTGTTCCACAGAGCAGGGTCCACAGCAGAAAAGGCCCTCTGCCCAGATCCCACCAGTCAAAATTCCTTGACTGCTGGGGTCTGCAACATGCCTCTTCTGCTGGACTGAGGGGGGCTTGCTCCCTCACCCTTTCAAGGGGACTCTGATGGAGGGAAAACCTGGGTAGGGGCAGTGGTAGGGTGTGGAACACCAGTATAGGGAGATGGCCAACCTAGCTAGCCAAAGTGAAATGGCAAAAAAGTAGCCATTAACTTTTAAAAATTTAATATATGTATTTTAATGGCATACCACAATACCATTAAGGCTAGAATTAGAGGACTTCCGGTGTTCATACACTCGAACACTCAATGCCTGATCTCTTGGAATACTTAATAAACCTTTAGGCTTAGTTATTCCAGGGTGTTTTGCAAAAATGTTCCATTATTCTGGTTTGACTAGAGCCACATGTATTCTCACAGTTGCAAACAAAGTTACGTACACTTAAATACATTGGCAAGTCTTCTAATCACAGCTTTCCCTTTTTTATGGCAGAATACAAAAGCAAAATCAATCCAATCTACTTTTACTAGGCAGCAAGCAAGCAAGTTACACTGATATAATAAACTGAGTCTACTGTCAAAGCACATGCGGAGATCCGATAGACAGGATCTCTGTATAGAGAGAGGATTTCATCTCTCAAAAATTCAAGCAGATTACCAAGTTGGAGGTTCCAGTCAGGGGGCCACTCCCAGCTGTAATTCAGATGAGATGAGTTGTAGAGTTAGAGAGGCTGAGGGGTAATTGGAGAGAGGGTGGGCACATGGATCTGGAACACAGCCATGATTGCATGCCCTCTCTGCACCCCTGCCCAGAAAGCTGTTCTTTTCATCCTCTTGTGTCCAGACAGCAGATCTCACCTTTTCTGGGTTAGGCTTTTCTGATGGGCTCCTTGCTTTGCCTGTTTTTTCCCTTCTTTTCTCCCAGAATGGTCATCTTGAGGGCCCTCAAGGTTGGTTAGCTTATGTATCCATCCCAAGCAGCTAGGAATTTTTTTTTTTCATACCACAGCTAAATTCATCCTCCTGAGCTGTGATGTTCAGTGCCTGTTCCTTAGTTTGTCTTTCTTTTCCAATCTGTAGATTTCTAGTTATTTTCCATCAGCTATCAAAGATAAACCACAACCTTTAGCTTTAGTTCTAAAGAGGCATAGTTTTATCTCCAGAAATGTGCCTTTATGTGTTAACATTTGATTAAAACAGTACAGCAAAGCAATGCAAATTCCAAAGTACACTATTAAAAATGCTCTTCATTTTTTATTTTTATATCAATGAATGAAAAGGCTTTAGTATTGTAGTCCTCAGGCTAATGAACTAGTCCTCGTGTGGCACTCATAACACTGAGTATGAGAACCACGCTTTATAAGTTTACTGCTGACAGACCTGTTTCTTATTTCAAGAAAGCCTGTAACTCATACATTATTCATGTTCCTCTTTCTAGAGTCTGGTGGGCCATCCTTCACTATCGGCAAGTCGATCTGGCTATTGTGGGCTCTGGTTTTCAACAATTCTGTTCCCATTGAAAATCCCAAAGGCACCACCAGTAAAATTATGGTCCTCATCTGGGCCTTCTTTGCTGTCATCTTCTTAGCCAGCTACACTGCTAATTTGGCAGCATTCATGATCCAGGAGCAATATATTGATACAGTCTCTGGGCTGAGTGATAAGAAGGTGAGCAATAGTGATGATTTATTAATATAATATGAAGGTGAGAATAAGGTAACCAACATTAATGAGCTTGGAGTAGGTCAGTGGTAGCAACTTGATGCCCTCCATTTGTCCCAGAATCGTTTGCTATTGGTCGTGCAGCTTGGGGCTGATGAATTCAAAGTATGATGTTGAGGTTCGTTGTTTAGGACATGGTTTAGGATGTTGATGATGGCCAGTGAAGATTTTGGGAAGTTGGATTTGGTTTGTCTCCAGAATCATTTTGAAGCAGAGTCTAGGGCAGTGTGAGGCACAGCAGTGATAGTACAAGGAGCAGCATTGGTTCCCAGTAGACTTCCAGATGCAATTCAAGCTGTTGGCTGTCACTTTTAAAGCCCTGCACGGCAGAGACCCAGGTTACTTTTGGAACTGCCTGTCTCCGATGGTTTCAGCCAGATCCAGCAGGGCGGGCGTGCTCTGGATACCTTCTCTGAAACAGCCTCATCTTGTGGGACCCAGGAGACATGCCTTCTTTACTTCAGGGCCTGCCCTCTGGAACAGCCTTACTCTTGAGCTACGGATGGCCTGACCCTATTCCAGAAGGGTGGGGTAGCCTGACCTTTTCCTCAGGTATTAGGGCCAAGATATTAAAGTCCAACGTGCCTGACAATGTGTGAATTGTTTGGATGTGCTTTGGTTATAGTATTATGATTATTTTTATTGTTCGTAATTGCATTCTGTGTTGTTTTAGATCAGTTTTTTATTAATGTCTTTTTAATGTATTGTTTGTTAGCCACCCAGAGTTACTTCTTTAAGATGGGTGGCCATATAATTTTTCCAGATAATATCACATAAATAAAATGAAATGGAATAAAATAAAATAAAATAAATAAATGTCCAAGATACATGGAGTCCACCCAGCTGTTTTTCATGGGTAAGATAACTGGCAACACCTGATTTTACATAAATATTTACTAGCTTTTTTTAATCACAGGAAACTAGTCTGTGGAGAACAAGCTGTATGAAAACTCATTTTTGGTTAACAGCAAAAGTTAGTAAAAATAATGGTCCCTGTATCTAACGGCAATTTTCTGGGAAACCATTTATGCTGCTATATTTGACTTTATGTGACTGAAGATAAGTTTTGCTTTCTTCACTTCCTTGAATGTATCATGACTCTCAAGACACTGTAAAATGTAAACTGAACATTGTGGCGATCTAAATTATCAGCTAAAATAAATAAATCTGGATAAAGCCTCCTCTTTCAACCTGATAATTGTTAAATGGAAGGTACAAAAGTATGCATACAGCTTTTTCAGGGCTAGACTCAGTGCTGAATAAAATACACCTATTATTGTTGTTGTTGTTGTTATCATTTTTGGTCTTCCTTTCCAGTTCCAAAAACCTCAAGAACAGTATCCTCCATTCCGGTTTGGAACAGTTCCCAATGGTAGTACAGAGAGAAATATCCGGAGCAACTACCATGACATGCATTCCCACATGGTGAAATACAACCAGCGCTCAGTGGAAGATGCACTCGTCAGCCTCAAAACGGGGTAGCTTTCTGTTTCCTATGAAATTGTCATCCTCCAGATTTCTGTGTCCGACGGCATTAGTGCTTGCTAGTACTTTTGAAGTAGCACCCAACATTGATTTCTTGGACCTGAGTCCTTTCAGATTCTAGTAATTACCGTCTGTTTCAGTGAGAAAAAATTCACACAGGCATTCCAATTTGAGCAGCCTGTATCTATTTTTTTTTTTTATCCGCACTCAATCGTGATCGATTCTGTGGCGACTGCCTGGACGCGTCCCTGCAGTTTT